GCCGGGTGTGTCGTGCGAAACGACACAATCCATTTCGCCCTTCCGCCACTCACAGAAAGAACACCAGGCCCTGCTCGAAGAGTGCCGACCGGCTAAGCACCGCGCCTAGTGGGGCATCCAGGACACGGCAGTCGTCATCGCGGCCAGGAGTGCATCCTGGCCGCCCCGGCCGCCCTGGCCGCCGTGGGCGGGTAAAAGTGCGCGCTTTGCTGGCTGTGCGAGGCGGGCGGCGCCCTGCCGAACAATGCGGACATGACGTGAACGTGACGTGCCAAAGCCTTTTGCACTGGGCCACTGGGCCGGCCCGTCAAGCCCGACCGGCAAAGCAGCTCTCCCCGGCGGGCGGCGCTGGAGGCAGGCAGGCCGGCCGCGCTGCCGCGGGGGTGCGTGGGCGCGCACATTCATACGCGAGAGGCTTTCACTCGGGGATCAATCACTGCGTGACGACGCCGCCGTGCGCGCGGCACGCGGCCTGCAGCAGCCCATCTGGCGCGCCATCGCGGCCCCCGCGCCCCGGACGCCACGCCACGCCCAGCGCGGTGGACGTCGCCGTGAGAAATTAGGGGTGGAGCGACGCGAGCAACGAGCATTGCGCAATGAGTGTCGCCGAATGCTGACAGGGGCGGATCCAGAGCCGGCCTGAGGGGCGAAGTGGCGCATTCTGCCCACTTCTCAGGGCAGAGTGTTGCTTCTCACCTTCCTCTCAGGCGGCTGTCTGGGGGTCAAGGGGTTCGATTGCCTCTTTGCGCGTCCACTGGATGCTGAATGCTAACCCCCGAGGTCCGCGCCGTCCCGCAGTCCCGGACGCTGCCAGGCCGAGCCTTGCCATGCCGGCGTGGCCTGGAATGTGCGCGCCGTGAGATACGCGCCGCTTTTTCGGAAACGCGGAATGCACCGCGCCAGCCGCCAGCCGGCCCGCCCGAAAGCAGCGAGGCAGCATCGCAGCGCCCGCCAAACATTAACCTTTCAGCCGGCCGGCCACCGGGGCGGGGCGGCGCGGCACGCTGAGTGTTTTCTTTGCGGGGGGCGCGCGTAAAGTGATGGCACGGGCTGGGCCGGCCGGGCCAAAGCGTCGCCCACGGAGGGAAATTCGCGTCGGCTTGCGCAACCTAGCGCAAAAGTATGACGGCAGCGTGGGGCAGGAAATTAGGCCATTTGGGCGGCCCCTTTCCGCTGGAGGCTGTCCCGCTGGAGGCTGTCCCGCTGGAGGCTGTCCCGCTGGAGGCTGTCCCGCTGGAGGCTGTCCCGCTGGAGGCTGTCCCGCTGGAGGCTGTCCCGCTCGAGGTTGTCCCGCTGGAGGCTGTCCCGCTGGAGGCTGTCCCGCTGGAGGCTGTCCCGCTGGAGGCTGTCCCGCTGGAGGCTGTCTCGCTGGAGGCTGTCCCGCTGGAGGCTGTCCCGCTGGAGGCTGTCACGCTGGAGGCTGCCCCGCTGGAGGCTGTCCCGCTGGAGGCTGTCCCGCTGGAGGCTGTCCCGCTGGAGGCTGTCCCGCTGGAGGCTGTCCCGCTGGAGGCTGTCCCGCTGGAGGCTGTCCCGCTGGAGGCTGTCCCGCTGGAGGCTGTCCCGCTGGAGGCTGTCCCGCTGGAGGCTGTCCACGCTGTCCCTCTTGGGGCTGTCCGACTCGAGGCTGTGCCGCTGGAAGCAGTGCTAGCCGCCACGGACCTCAAAGGCCCGGCCATCCACGCGTGCACACGACACGTGTCAAGGGGAATTCGCTGTGGTCCCGGTCCCCGGTCCGCGTCTGCGCCAGCCCCTCGCCGCCGCGCTGCACAGCGCCACCCAGAATGCGGGGAATGCTCGGACGGCATCGGCCGCCCCGCCGCGGCGCGCGCGTCGTCGTCTTGCGCAATGCGTCAACCCCTGCCACGACCGCGACGTGTCCTGCACGGCGTCCTGGCGGCGCGGCCAGGCGCGCCCCGCCCACCGCACGACCGGGTCCTGCTGCGCCGTGCTGCGCCGTGCTGCGCCGTGCTGCGCGCTGCGGATGGCCATTCCGATGGCTATCCATCCCGATGGCTATCGGCCGGGAATGCCGCCGAGGCCGCAGCCCGCCCTGGACTGCAGCACAGCCAGAGCACAGCGATGTCTCTCTCGCACTCATGGAGCGATCCGTGTTCCGGTTAAAGATGTGAAAGATGCAGAGCGACGAAACGCTGTTTGAAGTCTGTCGACCGACTGGACCAGCCCGCCAGGACGGTGCGGGTGTCTCCTCGGTGGCAAAGTCAAACCATGCTTGCGCGGTCGCACCTGTCCAAAGTGCAACAGGCACGCCTGGCGGCCTTGCCTGTCAGGCGCGTTGCCTACGCACCTACCCCGCGACTCCTTGTCGTGTTGCTGTCGATGGCGATGTGTGTCAGCAACGGTGGATCTAGCTTTGTCACTGCTGTCTTCTGATGACCACGCCGAATCGTAGCGAGTACCCCATGCCCATGCACACTGTATCCCTTCACTGTTGCTCCCTGTAAGCGCTAGTCTGCCCTTGCTTGACGCCCTGCCCTGTACTTGTGCTCCACAGACGCCCTGCTGAGCCCCGCCTCGCCCTGCCGCCCCCGCCGAGCCCTGCCGCCGCCTGGTCCCCGTAGTCCACCTCGACCAGCATGACGACCACGGCGTCGCGCCCGGGGGCGCCGCCCGGGCTGGTGGCCAACCCGCACCCGGTGGCGCCCACGCTGCGGCACTCGGCGTCCTTCTCGTGCCTCTACCCGCGGCGCCCGCACCGCGCCCGCACCGCCACGCTGCCCGCGCCGCCCGCCGCCGAGGTGGACACGGACTACGGCTTCGTGGTGCGCGGCGGCAGCCACCAGCGCGGCCACCTGCACTACCTCAGCCACATCCACCACCACCACCACCACCTGCAGATGCCGCTGCCCGAGGACGAGGTGGCCGCCACGCCGCGCGCCACGCCCACCAAGAAGGACTCGACGCTGCGCGACGTGCTGGTCAAGAAGTCCGCGTCGCTGCTCAGCCCTACGGTGTGGTGGCCGCGGCGCCAGCAGGACGCGGCGCCGCCCCCGCAGCCGCCGCAGCCGCCGCCGCCGTCCGCCCCCGGGCAGCAGCGGCGCTGGCGCAGCCTCGGCGCGCTGCTCCGCACGCCGGCGTCGTCCGCCGCGCCGCAGCCGCCTCCGCAGAGCTTCTACCTGCTGGACGACTTCCTGGGGCCGACGCCGTCCTCGCAGAGGGGCTCCGCCGCCAGCTCCGGGTCGGGAAGCGGCGGCAGCGGCGCGCACCACAACACCAGCTCCTCCGACTCGCTGGAGCTGTCGTCGCCGCTGCCCCCCGCCGTGCCGCCGCCGCCGCCCCCGCTGCGGATGCGCCGGCCGTGCCACTGCCGCCTCTGCCACCAGGAGCACCAAGCGGTGAGTCCCCTTTCCTATGCCGCCCCTAGCTCCCTCTGGCGCTTAGCGACCCGTGGACGCCGCGACGCAGCGAGGGCCGCAGTGTCCGGCGCGGCCTGCGCTGTGCCTTGCGCGCTGTGCGTCACCAAAACAGCATACTAATTGCTGTCGATCGCGAACGCGGTGAGGGTGGGAGGGGAGGGGAGGGTTGCGCCGGGTAGCAACACTGCCGCGCGACGGCAACGCCTCGGCGAGGACGACGGGAGAGAGGGACATCAAATTTCATCCCGAAGATGGAATGCAAACCAAAACCAATCGCGCTGATCGCTTATTCAGGTCGGCAGGCCCTTGCGGAGACGTGTCGGGTTCGGGCTCCGCCGCGCTGCGTGCTGCGCGTCTCCCTTCTCGAAAATAACGAGGCGACCCGACGCCTTTCAGCAGAGCAGATTTTTGTTTGCCGTCCGCCCTGCGGTCCCTGCGGTGTGGAGGACGACGCCGCGCTGCTCCCTTCAGCCGCCACCTGTTGCGGTCGCAGTGTTTGCGTTCGCTCTATGAACTACGCAAACTAGTTTGGACCTTACGAGGAAAATCTTCTGCTTTCGCGACCCGCATACATACCCCGCTGGCGAAGTAAAAACTTCGTAATGTTTTGCGTGTATGAAACTACTGTAGAGGCCTAACGGCGATGGTGATGGTGATGCCTGTCCGTGCATCCCCTGAGCCAGAGCGCCTGCATGGCGCGCGATAGGCAACCCGCCGCGCTCGCGTGTCTCAGCGCTGCCTACCTGCAGGGCGTCCTCCTCCCCGAACTTGGACCCTTTGCGGTGTAGTGGCGCCCCGTCCCCGCCCTCCCCGGCGGCCCTTGGGGGCCCCATCCACGGCTTTACTCTCCGGGCGCTCGGCCCGACTGCCTGGCCGCGGTTCGGTTCGGCTCGGCCGCAGACAAGAAACACCGGCCGAGGCCGAACACGCCCCGCCGCCGTACCTGCCCGCGGCCTTGGTGCCTTGGCTGCGCTGCCACGCAGCAACCCTCGACGCGCCCAGGCCTCGGCCACGGCCACGGCCCGCCCGGTCCAGGGGGGGGAGAGGGGGGGCAAGGCGTTGCTGCTTGGATGATTGCAAGGTATGGCTCCCCACGGCCGGGGTGGGGTTGGCCGGCTCCAAGGCTGCCTGCAAGAACAAGCCCTCGGTGGTGCACACACACACACACACACACACACACAACACACACACATGAACACACATGAAAGCACGCAAACACATACGTCGAATGCCAAAGGTGGTTTGCGCGGGAATCTGCCCACGCAATTCCAGGATGCGTCGCCAGCCTGCGGGGGTGTGGGGTGGCGGTCGGTCTGAATCTCCCGCGTTCCAAGTAATTCGAGTACACTCGATTGCGTACTGCCCTTCTTGCGTACTCTTTACTCGCGCCCAATTTTGTCAATTTTGTGAACATCCAAAGAAAAGCCGTTTCTTCGTTCCAGAAACGACTTTTCCGATCTACCCCGTGCAGGAGGACTCCGGGCTCTCCGATGAAAATATATCTGAACTGGAGCGACGGAGCGGCAGAGCGGCACCACTTACCTGTGCCCCCCCCCCCCAATTCTTATCCTCTTACCGACGAGGGCGCCGTCGCTGTCGCGCACGGAAAAAAAAAGGTTGGTTGTGACAGCAAAAAATTTGCTGCGTCAGCAAACGTGTTAGTTGATTTTGGGATAACCTAACCCGTTTGTTGTCTTAACCTCTATGATGACTGATACAATGATAATAAGTGTTGTCCCCATGACTTTACTTCGTTAGTCCAGCAAACCTCACTTTGTCACAAAGGCGATGAAAATGGCGTTGTTGGAGCAGATCGTGTTCGTTATCACAGCGAACTGAATCGCTTTGCCAGGGGGAATAATATCGTGCGAGAAACAAGTGCTCTTTGGGTTCTCATAACATCAACTTTGGTGAATACAGCAAGAAATGGCGCTGTCACACATGATTTGCCTCTAACGCGCATGTTTCGCGGAGGTGACAAACTTTCGCGCCCTTCCACCGCCCTCCCTTGTTTCACACGACGTTTCCGCCGTTCTCTGCCCGAGTGCAATCGAGGTGGCTGCGGCGGCCGGTGACTTCCGTTCTCGCAGTCTGTGTATCTTTGTTTGTCCAGCATGGGATATAAAGGTTGCGATTACTCAAAAATGTCTTTCTTGTCACCGAAATGGATCGTGCGTCAGGGTCAGCGGAAAATGAGGAAAGTGTCGCCGCTCTTCTGTTGTCGTGGGGCTTGGACGCACCCACCATCCAGCGTTTCATCGGTGAGTTCCGACTTGGCAGCTACTCGGCGGCCGGTGTTTAGGCCATTTTCTTTCTTTTTTCTTGTAAGTTTATTTAGGGTTGATTCTTCAGCTTGAGTGTTGATTTAAATGCTTGGATTAGTTTTCTTTCGTTTTTCTGAACGGCGGACATCTTTGGATGTTTCAATTTCATTACATGTCCATGGGTTAACCTACAATTTGAGGTTAGCTTGAGCGTGCGGATGTTTCACTGCCGTTGTGCCTAGTTTCATGAACCACGATTGAAATACTATCGCTGTTGTTGATTCATTTTGAAGCTCAGTACATCATGTGAATCGTATGCTCTCTTTGCAGACGAAGACTTCTCTGTGAATCATTTGGCATTTCTTACGGACGAAACCATCAATCGCCTTTTGCCCAAGGCAGGCCCCAGAGAATGCTTTAAGTTCAAGTGGACTGAGTGGAAAGGGAGCCAGCCAGGCCAGCCTGAGAAAGATCCAGTTACGCCCATCAAGCGGGCCTCAAAGCGTCCAGCTCAAAAGGTTAGTTTCTGGAAATCTGTCAATGCTGATCTGGGTTATGTCCAGTTTGTTCACTTCAATTGTTTGTTGTTGCAGTCTTCAACTTCTCCAGTGTCTTGGACTAAACTATCCCTGAAAGAAGATGAACCATCAATTAATGTGAGTTGTGTGAATATTTTAGTTTGTGTTTGGTGTGCATTTCATGTCAGTTCACAATTAACGGCTTCTAACTTTTCAGGAAGTTCATGAGCGGTTGAAATCAACGCCTGAGGGCCACTCTGTTTTGGCGTATTACAATTTACATGGGAAACTCAACGACACATTTCGAGACATTCTTTCCACTCGAGTGGTAACTGGGGAAACTAAGTTGGATTTTGACAAAAGGTCAGTTGTGGCAAAGGTTCTTTTGTCTTATCTTGTGTTTGTTTTTCTGTATCGTATAGTGGTTTGTCACATTTCATGTTGCTTTTGTTCCAGAATTGGCAAAGCTCGGTTCGAAGAACTTGCTCATCAAATCGTGGAGCTTTTCCCGTTAGAAGCTGAGGTACGATATGTCAGCACACTTTCATTCTAACATTTGATTTGGCTGTTGTACTGTAGCATCTTATGTCTGTTGTTTTAGCATACATGGTTTGAATTGGAAGAAAAGAAACGAAGAAAGATTGTGAGTGGAAGACTTAAACACAAGTTCTACAACAATAGGCGCACGTATATTGATGTGGCTCTCATCAGCAAGGCCACACTTGAAGCAGAGTTAGACAGTGATGAGGATCTTTGTGAGTTTCAAGTAATGCTTTCATGTGTTTGCAAACTTATGGCTGTGCAGTCAGTAACATATCTTTTTTTTTTCCAGTAAGTGATAGTGAATTATCTGATGATAACATTCTGTGGCTCAAAGAACATGACTCTCCATGGACTGATGTGCTGTCCAAATGGAATAATTCTTTCCAAGTAAGAAAACTTCTGTTTAGACGATGCTCTTCTATTGGTGCTATCATTACTGACTTCCCTGCTCTTAAGAAGGAGATTGGACATGAGTTGGTAAGTATTCTATTGACTTCATATTATTTATAAGATTTTATTTTACTGAACTGTGCTGAGCATTGATTTTATTTTATCCTTGTAATTTCAGCTCATCGAAGACTTTAATGCTGACCATCCAGAACTTGTATACCATGTGGACACACACTGGCCTTTATTCCTAAATTATGTTAAGAATCTGATACAAGAGAAAGACTCTGAATTTTTGAGTGAGGTTGATGAAGAAAGTGGTGAGTGCACATTGTTGATTTTTTTTTTTTAAGTTAAATATTTGCCATGTTGGTAAAGCACATTCTAATTATTTTCCTCTTTTTTTCAGATTCTGCGTGTGTTGAAATTTTGTGCCATTTGGCTTCTATCTTTAAACCAAGGACTCATAAGACAACTGTTGTTGATACAACCAAAAAAAAACAAAATCTAAGAAGCAATCGAAATCAAAAGGGACAGAAAAGCAGGCAACTTTAGTGTGGCGTCCAAGCAGTCAAGAAGTGCAGGAATCCTTTCTGCTTCGCATTGATGTAAGTGTTAATTCTTATTTTTGTCTTTGTACTTTTGTTCAATGTTTTGTTCTATATACTTCATGTTTACTTCATTGTCTCATGCTTTTGTATTTTTTCTTTTTTTAGGAGATTGGGAAGCTCAAAGGAGTTCTTAAAGAGCGAAACAGAGTACTCGTCAAGTATGGTTTCACACTTCAACCCTTTGTAGTACTTGTTGGTCCAGCTGCGAGGATTCGCCAATCAATCATAGTACTTGACAACTTAATTTGGGAATGTCCCAATCCAATTCAAGCTGTGGACTCTCTGTTTAAAATATTTTTTGTCCTTAACTGCTCATATCCTGTGGAAAGCCGGCACCTTTGGCTTCTTATTCAGCAATGTGTTTATAACATCAACACTCCAAATGATTACAAGGGTAGTGTGGGCCTGAAATCTTATCTTGCTGCTTATGTCAAAGAATGGAAATCTGTGGTAAATGATAGTTAATTATCATTGTGGTTGTTTTGCTATTTTGTTTGTATACTTGGGTGTAAGTTACTTAACTTATTGTTCTGTTTTTGCTATTTTGTTTGTATACTTGGGTGTAAGTTACTTAACTTATTGTCCTGTTAATTCTCCTTATGGTTTTTTGTTATTTTGTTTGTACCCTTGGGTGTAAGTAAACTCATTGTTCAGTTCATAAATACCTGTATTTATTTAGTTTGCTTCAAATCATCATGTTTAATCTTGATAAAATTACATGTCCAGTTTGCACTGTGAGATTTCCATTAGCTCACTTGCAAACTCATATGAGAGTTGCTCATACTCGTAAAATCTATTCTAGATTTATATGTAAGTCGGGTTGTGGGCGACCCTTTTCCACTTTTGATGCATTGTATAAACATTTATCGCGTTGCTCTGTTGATGGTATTAGTAGTGATACTTTAGAGTCAGATGAGTCAAAAGATAGTTGTGAAAGTGCTGAGGCTTCTGGTGAAAGTGAACTTGCTGCTGGAGCACAAGGTTCTGAAGAAAGCAATTTTGATGGAAAAGCAATAGAAAGCAATGTTCTTGGTAATGCAGAGTTTGCAAGCACTATTAAATCCTTTTCTGACGAGTTTGTGGCTAGACTTTATAGAAAATCCAGTCTACCTCGGAATCACATTCAAGGTATTGTGGAAGATGTCATGTGTCTTCTTTCTAAATGTTGCGATTATCTTAAACCTCAGGTTGTGCAAACTCTCAATGATTTTAGTGGAACTCAGAATAACTTGAATGAGATTTCAAAAAGTTTTGACCTTGTGAAAAACTGCATGTTACATTTATCCACTGATTATAAACGTAACTTGTATTTTGCCAGATGTGGATCTTTAATTCTACCTGTGCCGCATGAAGTTGGCTCTACTAATGAATCAAAACGTACCAGAGGTGGAACTGTTTTCAAAAAACTTTATCATTATGTTCACAGTGTCCCTTTGAGAGCAGTGCTAAAATGTATTCTTGAGCTTCCAGATGCATTTTCATCAGTGCAATCACACATTGCTTCTTTAGAATCTAATGATAAAACCATTGACAATTTTATGCAATGCCCTTTGTGGAAATCGAAGAAATCTGGTTATTCTGCTGACGATATTGTGTTACCATTGTTTGTATTTATTGATGACTGTCAGTATAATAATGCTTTAGGGTCTCATTCTAAGTCTCTTGGTGCTTGTTACACCTCTTTGCCATTTTTACCTGAAGAGTGTCAATCAACTTTAGACAATATAATATTAGCCCTGTTGTACAAATCCTGTTATAGGAAAATGTTTGGTGATGACAAAATTTTTGATCCATTAATTGCAGAATTGACTTTCTTAGAAAAAGAAGGTATATTAGTTTCCACTGAGCATGGCCTTCAGAGAGTCTTCTTTGTCACTGGTCTGCTCCTTGGTGACAATAAGGGTCTTAACTCATTGTTGGGATTTACTGAGTGTTTCACTGCAAATCACTGCTGTAGGTTTTGTAAGAGTCATAGAAATACTATGCACTATCAAAGCGTTGAAGATCCTAGTACTTTAAGAACTTTAGAGTCATACAATGCTGACCTAATCACAAATGATGTATCTCTTACTGGCTTAAAGTATGAAAGTGTATTTAACAAAGTTCCATCTTTTCATGTCACCTCAAATTTAGCTGTAGACAGTTTTCATGATCTGGCTGAAGGTGCTTGCCACAATGTATTACGTCATCTATTGAACCATTGTATTCCTAATTACTTCACTCTTGACATTTTAAATGACCGTTTGAATCTCTTTGATTATGGTCCATGTGAAACTAATCGTGTTCCTGAAATTACTGAAAAGTCTCTGTCATCTGATAAATTGAAATTGTCGGGTTCCGAAACTTTGTTGTTCATAAAAATATTGGGAATTCTTATCGGGGATTTAGTGCCTCCAAATGATCCATACTGGAAGCTGTATTTAAAGTTGCGGGAACTGTTAGACATTTGTCAGTCCAAGTCTGTATCTATTTCTCAACCTAAGTCATTGCGAGTGATTGTTGAAGAGTTCAACACAATGTATGTCAAAATAACAGGGGACACACTCAAGCCTAAAATGCATAATTTTTTGCACTATGCTCGTGTCCTTGAAAATTGTGGCCCAATTCAATCAATGGCAGTTGCCAGATTTGAGGCCAAACATAAAGACATTACAGTGCCAGCTCATACTACATCATCACGTGTGAATCCAACCCTCACCTTTTCTATGCGTCACCAACTGTCTCTGTGCTATCGTTTTATGTCCAAGCAATCTATTCTTCCCAAAGTAGAATTTGGGCCAAGTGAGTTGGTTTCTGTGTCGGATTTGGACAATTTTGAATTATTTGATCGTTCATTGCCACAATTGTTTTTAGATAGCCAGTTGCTGTCTTTAAAATGGGTCAATATAAAAGGAACATTGTACAAGCCTGGCATGGTACTTTTGGTTAATGCTAATGAGCATGGCCCAGTTTTTGGTGAACTTTGTTACATTCTTGTGCATGAGGAAACTGTTCTCTTTGTATTCTGTTATTTTTTAAATCTTGGATACAGTGAACCTGTTCATGCGTTTCCAGTTTGCAAATCTCAAAGATGGTCTTGCATAGAACCAAGTGCCATGTATGATCCTCATCCATTATTTGCTCACTCCAATATTCTCGGAGTTAAGTATGTTTCTTTAAAGCATAGACTGTGATAATGTGAAGTATTGACTGTTGATAGTTCCTGTTGTGTAGTATTGTGTAATTGTGATATTTCTGTCAGTTTGTTTCCACCAAATGAAACCAATAAATACAAAAACAAAAAATTAATTTGTGTTGTTTTTAATACATGCCGTGTAATTGATGTATCGACTCCCATGCCGGTTTAACTGCTCGTCAATAATAGTGGAAAAAAAAAGCCAGCAGCTGCTAAAAACTATTATTTTATTGACTGAGCAAAAATTTAAGTTACTTCAAAACAAATAAAATTGCTGTGTTAACAATCACATTAGTTGCCACAAACTGATAGTGGATCACTGGAAAAGCAAACTTTTTGGTCACAAGAATCAGAACCAATTATCAGGGACAACACTTTGACTGTGATACCTCAAAAGAAAATAATTCTGTCGGGTGAACAAGAGGCATGCGTCGCGTGAAGCCAGGGATTTATTCCTGGACCAGCGTAGGGAGAGCGCAGCCAGAACAGATCCTGTGAGTGAAGCCAGCCAACCACCCAGTTACTTTGACGAAGACTACCTATGATCGATACAACTAATTATGTTTGTTGTTTCGGCGAACAGAAGTTAGCTGTCCGAAAATCAACTAAAATGTTTGCTGCCACAACAAACTTTTTTTTTCCGTGCGGGCCCGGGGTTGGAAACGGGTAAACCGGGTAGAGAGAAAAGGGAGAGACAAAAGCGACGAGACAGTAAAAAATATAACACAATAGAAGGAGAAGAACCGAGCGGAATGAGGTTTCAGTTCGTGCGTCATGGTGTCCGCGCTCCGCGGCCTCGCGGACGGACGTAGACACGGAGGGAGTGACTCTGGTTTGGCGATCGCAGCCGCCGCGGCTAAATATTCGCCGCTGAAATAGCGAGGCAGCGAGGACCGAGCGAAGCACGAGGAGAAGGATGCGGCAGTGGAGGACTGCTTGCGGTGTGGGGGTGGGGGTTCGCTGCACGTCCGCCTCACGCTGCCCAACGGGCACTCGCAAACTCGCGGAGAGGACACACCACCTCCGCCACCGTCAGCGCACTGGCGTACACACACCGCGCGAGCGCCGCGCACACACTTGGGGTGCTTCCAAGGCGACCGCCGAGCCGATACGGTGAGCCGAATCGGCGCGGCAAGACCGTTTCCTGCGTGCGACGAAGACAGAGCGCCTTTTGCCCAGACCTTCGGCTCCTCGCGCCTCGCGCCGGCTAGAGGCTTCGGGTCTCCTTCTCCTTCCGCGAGCCGCACTGGAGGCGCCGCGGCGGCGCACAGCGCCCTGCAGTCCCGACCGTCGTCCGTCTCCCTCGCACCCGCACGCGCCGCCGCACGCCGCCCGCGAGTGCGAGAGAGACGGAGCGTGCGGGTACCGTATCGCCAAGGGACTGCCGCCTGCCTATCTACGGCAAGGCGGAATTATTCGATGGCGGAACACGCGGCTAATTGCCAGGCACTGCACTGCCTTGGCGCTGCGGTCGCGGTGCGGCGTGGCGCGGCGTGCCGCGACGGCGTGAGTGATCACCGCACCGAGCAAGCGAGGCTGCGACCCGACGCCGCGTGCGCCCGTGGAGTGTTTAACACTCGGTTTGCCCACGACTGTGTGGAGCCTCGCTGGCTGCGCCTCTGCCTCGCGGATGGCTTGCGCCCGCCAGCCAGTCCGGTGACTTGTGTTCGACTTGGGTTGGAGGTGCGACCGCGCCCACCACACCCACCGCGGCCGCGTGACGGTATCGCTACCGGGTATTCCGCGTAACGAGCCAAGTCAGCCGCTTCCGTTCGTCGTTTGGACCGCTGCACCCGAAGGCCCGAAGGCCCGAAGGCGCCGCCACGTCAGCTGTTCGGCTTCAGCCCGACCGCAGTGATACCACGCCCGGCGGACTCCCTCGCGCTAAACACCGATCGCTGCAGGCGCATGCCGGCGTCGCTCTGTCTCTCTCGCGCCCCAGCGCAACGCCCCACGAGTGCGAGAGAGACAGCACGATGGATCTTTTTCCGGAACCGAGCTGCTGCTGGTGCAGTGCGCGCCTGTGCCCGAGTGAGTGAGTCAGCCGGAAGAAAAACTGTTAAGAGAAAAAGCGAGTGAGACAGGCGGAGTGCGTTCCGGAGCGCAGCCTTGGCGCCGTCGCGTTCGACACCTGTGGAGGGAGGGGCGTCGCCGTGCCGTGGCGTCGCGCTGCGGTGACTCACAGTGTTGTGCCTGGCCGGCGTTCAACGGGGCCGCATCCGAGGTCGCCGTCGTTCGACTCGCCACGGCGTCGCCCCGGACGCAGCCCGGCGGAAGCGGCCGCTGCTTGAGATGCAGCCACGTGCCCAGGCCTGGCTGGGGGCTCATTCCGAGGGGGCAGTTCCGTCGGTCTGTCTCTGTCGCTCATACAGGGGACGCCCCATGAGAGCGAGAGAGAGACCTCCCGCTCGGAATCAGCCTGCTGGGCGAGGCAGGCTGGCACTCCCCTCCCTTCCTCCTCCTCCCCCCCCCCCGGGAAAGAAAGGAAGGCCGAGCCGGGATTTGAACCCAGAATCCTCGGAACGCCAGGACCCCCGCGCGGCCCCGGGCGAGATAAGGCAGGGATCGCGGAGAGCGCCCTCGAGTCCCCGAGCCCAAGGCCGTCCGCGTGGCGGAGGGCGCAGGCCGGGGCGGAGGCAGGGAGGGGCGGGGCCGGACTTGGCGCCGGGCAGGGCGGGCAGTGCGTGCGGGGGGTCCGGCGGGGCGGCCAGCACCGAGTAGACTTTCGAAGGTGAATTTCGACGACAGCACTGTGAAAATGGAGTCCTATTCTCGGACGAGGTTGGGTAAGTTTTAACGTCAAGGGCAGAAAGTCGAGATCCGTGTAGGCTCGGCGTAAACCAGACCTGCTCGGGTCGTAAATTGGGCTCCATCTCGGGTTCAATCGGCAAAACTCGCCGAACTCTGAAATTCCCTGAACGAGGGCGGCGTGTGGACCAGAGGCCGAGACCGAGACTCACCACGCTGCTGCATGCTGCACGCGATTCGCCCAGAGAAAGAGGAAAGGAAGTCTGAGACCGCCCCGGCCCGCCCCGCCCCGGCCCGCCCCGCCCCGGCCCGCCCCGCCCCGCCACGCCCCGCCCCGCCCCTTGCGTTTGCTCCGCACTTTTACGCCGCACGCTTCAAGGACACGTTCCACCTCCGAGCACTTCCCACGGGGAAGTCCCCCCCCCCATTTCCCCCTTTCTTTCTCCCTCCCCTCCCTTTTCCTTTCTACCCTTTCGGTGAACTTGTTGCCGGCTGGCGCGTGTACCCGCCTCGCCCCGCGCCTCGCCGAGTGAAAAATGTGATTGGTTTCGCGGCGGCGGGTCGGGGGTAGGGAAGTACCCGTGCTTGCGTGGCGTGGCGCGGCGTGGCGTGGCGTGCCCGTCAAAGGGGGCCGCGCCTTTCCCGTCGACGTTGACCCAGCGGGACCCTCGATAAATCAAAAGCGTTTTGGCTCCCGTTGGCGCGCCCTTCCCGCCCTTCCTCTTGGACGCAGCGGCGCTCCGTCTCGCTCGCACTCACGGACGTCGCCGTCAGGGTGCGAGAGAGACAGAGCGGTTCGGCATCGCGCCGCATCGCGCTCTGCCGCTCTGCACGCGCGGCGGTCGCGGCGTCTACATGTTTTCCCGGGATTTATTTTCTCCTTCGCCCCTTCAATATTCTCGCCGCGGCAGCGGAGCGCGGCAGCGGACTGCATCCAAGCGGGGTGCCTCTCTCTCTCCATCGCACGCCTTGCTGGGCCGCCGGGGCGAGAGAGAGAGAGATAGATCGGCGTGGGCCTGCCGGGCCGAGTGGCCGAGGGCGGAATCGGAAAATACCGCCGCAATTGGGAGGTCTCGTTATTTGTCGACCCGGAGCCGCGCGGGCCGAAGGGAGGTCGCCGACGGTCGGCGGCCGAGCCGAGCCACACGTGCCGGGCCGGGCCGGCCGCCAGCGCGATCCCCAGCGCTGTCTGCGTCGCACTCACGGGGCGTCCCGTAGGGTTGCGAGAGAGACAGCGACGACGGGGCGGATTCGCTGGGCTGGCCGGGGTTATCGCTCGGCGTCCACGTCGGAGATCGCCTTGGCGGTGCATCGTCGGCCGGCCAGGCCCCTCGCCGATAGTGCTCCCCGTCCACGTCCCCGTCCACGTCGTGGCCACCCAAAAGGAAGGGTCACGGCGAGGCTCGCTCCGCATGCAGCGGTCACCGCGGCGCTGTTCGCAACAGTGTAGGGCCTACAGTGTAGCACTCGTAATCGCGATTCGCAAATTCGGTTGATCGACGTGGACGAGCTGCATCCTGTGGCCGCGCCGCGCTGCACCGCTGTCGACAAGCTCCATCGGCGCAGTAAAGGAATTTGGCCAAGCCGCCGCTTCCGCAGGAACCGCGCCCGCCGCGATAAGGCGAAGACGCCCCCGGCCGCGCAACGGTGACGTCGGCGACGTCGGTGACGTCGCCGCGGTGCTCGAGGACGGCGTCGTGCGCCGCAGCGCCGCGGTGACGGACTTGTTGTCGTGCTTCCGGCGCCGATCGGCGGAGAAGGCTTAATCTGGCTGCGACGTTGTGGCGGCGCGGCGGCGCGGCCCCGCCAATCGCCATCGGCTGCCATTACTTTCTCGGTATCGGCCGCCCCGCCCCGCCCCGCCCCGCCCCCCGTCGGACGTCAGCTGATAGCGCGGCCTTGTTGGCGGCCTTGCGCGTCACCGAGACCCACGTGTTGAATGCTCGGTGGCGGCGCGCACTTTGAGCAGCACGTGCGCGTCCTCGCCGTCGTCGTCGTCGGCGAGGTGCTGGATGGCGTCGCGGGGGCACAAAGGGAAGCCCGGAGAAGGCCAAGGGCGGCGTGTGTCGTCGGGGTGCGCGGACGGGGTGGAGGCCCGGGGTGGAGCGCCACCTGTGAGGCCGAGCCTGAGGCCGGGCCAGCGCGCAGCGAGAACCTTTTGGAGCTGCCGTGAAAATTTGATGCGTCCGGCAGCTTCTCATGGCAGGCATGCTGCTCCGCCGCGCCCCGCTCCAGCCCCGCCAGCCCCGC